CATATGTATAGATGTTCTCCCATCAAGAACATTTATTATCACCAAATCATAACGTTCAAGAATTAATTCAAATTTATAACGTTTAGACTATAATTAAGAACTTTAATGATATTAAATATTCAATTTAATAATAACGGTTTCATGCATAAAGAACAAAAAACTAAAAAATTCATGATAATGAATTATGAATCATAATGAGAATAGTTATATTATTATTAAATTAAATATTTAATAATAACGATTATATGTGAGGCCAAACTTGATGGTAGTGCTGCGTTGCAAACCAATAGGCACGAGTGCAGCGGTCAGGGAATCACATAGCAATACATTGAACCTGAGTTGCAAATCATCCATGGACCATTCTTTTTGTTTCTCCTTTTGCTTGCTTGGGAGTTGATAAGAGGAAGTGGAGCCAGCAACCACACGCTGTCACGCGACATTAGAGTACTCAAGTGGATGAAAGAAATAGTAGTTGGTTGAGCAAATTGCGTAGCAGCTCTGCTGTCGCTGTAGCTGCTGCAAGCATACCGCTTTTATTTGGTCTAAGGTCACCACGAGGAATGGTTCTGTAATCCTTGTGTTCATCGATTGTACACATGCATGCATCTCTCTCTCTCTCTCTGAAACCATCGTCAGAGTATGAACAGAGTCGTATTAGTAGTGGCAGCAGTAATGGCATCCAGCGAAGGATCTTAATCGGATCTAAGCTGGGATTTATGTCGTGGAAGAGGACAGGGGCACACGTGGAGCGCTCCAGGATCACTTCTTCACGCGAGCCGCTACCTCTGGCAGACGTGGCACCAGGGTGTGGCGCCTACGCATCTCCGTCACCCCCCATCTCGCCGTGACGTCATCGCGGGAACTAGTGGCTGCGGTGCGGCGTTCCTCAGCGTCTCAAATGTCTATTTTGCCCTTCGATTTCGTCGTGCAAATCAATAATTGAAGACGTTACGAGGGCGATCACGCCAACTGAAACGAAAGAGGCCGCGCGTACCTGCCACGCTGCCACGCTAATGGGGCACGGGGCGGGGGCCCTTCTTCCGGAAGATATCTGAAGCCAATAAATTGCTGTCGTGGACAATACCTCACCGGGAGCGGCTGGGGGTCAATTGGGTTGTATATTGATCACCGCTAAAAAGCACTTCGCTCACTCCATCTTGACGGACGCGATCGCTTATCTGCCACACGTCGTCAGGCTCCATGGGGATCCCACGTGAAGCCGGCAACCGCAGGGGAGTACGTGGCACGGATTGCTGATGACGCCCCATTGCTGGGAGCTGCTTGACCAAAAGTACACAAAAATTGGATATTTCTTTTACATGTTAGAGTCCAATGAAGGTATTTTGTTCAATGTAAAAAAAAAAAAAACTGTCAACGCAAACAAGATTGGAACAAGAGATTGATTTTAATCAAACTAATTAAGGAATTAGTGGAATATGAGAAAGATTATAAAAAAAAGTCCACTATATATGGTAAAGTAAATGCATAGTTCGAGGGAAACGAGGTACTGTGGATAGGAATGGCTCGACGACCATCACGTGACCAAACAACCTCCGTCCTTTTCTTGGCCCCTCTCTCTCTCTCGCTATATATATATATATATAT